TCTGTTGATATGACATGCAGATTAAAAAAATTCGCCATACATTGCCGTCTCGATGATGGTGGGTGAGGTTTTCCGGGTTTTCCTCACCTGTAAGTCAAATGGCACCATCAATCATCTTTAAGTCGCCCCGGAGCGCCACGGCAAATAATAATAATAGCCGTCCCTTCCCCTACACAAGTCGTTCAGTCGACTTCAGGGGTTGAAATTCACTCGTAAGGGGGTGAATTAGGGAGAGTAGTATTATTATTATTATTATTGACCTTGTCAAATCACCAGGTCTACAGGGTTGCCATAATTTTTCAATATCATAACCCGTCAAAGCCCACTGGTAGGCATTCAGTTTGGAATGCCTAATAGTTATTTGTTTTGTATTATTTTGCATCGGTCGATTTCTTTTCAATAAATTATTTGTATTTTAGATTAAATTATTAACAAACTGTTCTTTTCAGAACAAATTTATTAGGAATTTAAGAGTGGTGTTCGTTTATTGTGTATTTTTTCATTGAAAAATGCCATAACAATTAAATAATCTCTGCAAGGAACTAGTGGCTTCTCTAATAAATTATTTTGAGAAAGAACGTGATACTAATGGGCCTTTGTTATCTTTAACAGCTGTAAGAGAAGTGAGTTGATTAATAATGTATCACCGTCAAATTAATATAATTATTTTGTTTCAGCGTGTCGCAGACGCACTTAATCTCAATTTTTCTACTGTTAGTTCTATATCACAAGCTGTAAAGAACAGTGAAGTTCTAAAGTCACCACCAAAAAAGCGCCCTAGGCAAAATAAAGTTACCAACACAAGAATTCTGAATACCAGTGCTATTCGAGATGTTATTTATAGCATGTACGAGTCTAGTAAGTGTATATGTATATAAATTATTATTAAACAATTACAAATTAATGTATGATTTCAGAAGAGCATGTAAGTTTAGATTCTTTGTTGGTGAAACTTAATGAGGAGTTGTTCAATGGATGTCGTACATCATTGCATACCTTATTATTAGAAATAGGTTTCAAATGGCAGAAAGATGAACCAAGGCGAGGTCTTATGGAACTTCCAGATATTGCCGTGAAACGGGCAGAATTGTTATGAAAATATACCAAAGAAAAGGAAGCAAATTTGTACCAGTTATTGATGAGACTTGGATTTTCCAAAATGGCACCATAAACCGTTCTTGGCAAGACAGCAATAAAAGAAGTGTAAAAAAGTACAAAAGTTGATGGTAAAAGGTTATAAAAAAAACTAATGAATGAATATATACATGTTAATTGTATATTGATCTTTTTTATAGATATATAATTCTTCATGCTGGAAACGAAAATGGATTTATTGATGGTGGCGAGGCCATATTTGCTTCAAAAAGCAATGATTATGATTATCACGGTGAGATGAATATTGAAATTTTTTTAAAATGATTCGAAGAACAATTGCTTCTAAGACTGCATGAACCATCTTTAATTGTAATGGACAATAGTCTGGGCCAAAAAAATTGACTATTTTTTTTTTTTTTTTAAATATACCGAGAATGTAATTCAGAATGACAAAAAAAAAATTGTGAAAATTTGAGCCCTTAATAATAATTTTAAGAGGTCTATCATCGCTATTTTTGATTTTTAGTCATAATTTGATGTTTTACGTTAGAACTGTCAAAACATTAAAGTGAAAAAAAATTCCTTTTCACTTATTTTTATATAAAATTAAATTCTCTACAAAACATTTTTCTTCGATTTTAATCATGAATAACTTTTAAAAAATTAAATTTAAGCAAAAATTTAAGGAGACCTTTTTTGTAGAACATTAAATTTCCTATAAGAATCCGACGTGAGCTTTTTTTAATATTCATTGATTCATTAATTACCAAATTTCAAAGTAAAAAGGACAAATCGAAAAAACACATCGATCTATTAAGCTCAATTACTCGGAAACGGCTCGTTTGACGAAAATGTTCAATCAAACCTTTTTTGTAGAGAATTTAATTTTATATAAAAATAAGTGAAAAGGATTTTTTTAATGTTTTGACAGTTCTAACGTAAAACATCAAATTATGACTAATAATCAAAAATAGCGATGATAGACCTCTTAATATTAATATTAAGGGCTCAAATTTTCACGAATTTTTTTTTGTCATCCTGAATGACATTCTCGATATATTTAAAAAAAAAATAGTCAATTTTTTGGCCCAGTCTAATGGACAATGCTTTATACCATAGCACATTGGCACACAAAACACCGGATAGTAATTCGACTAAGGTTTAAATTCAAGAGTGGTTGACGAATCAGAACATACCTTATTCAGTCACCATGTTTAAGGCTGAACTTTTGAACCTTGTTAGACGGTGAGTAATGGAAATCTACTTTTTCCGTATTTTTTAATTGATTTTATTTTTTAGTAATAAACCACCAAAAATATATGTAGCTAATATGCTGGCTGAACAGTATGGACATAAGGTGTTATGTCTTCCTCCTTGTATTTTTAATCCAATATAACTGATTTGGGGTATTTCAAAACAATATTATAACAGGCACATTGGTCGGGATGGAAAGACATTGTATAGACATGTGGTCTGAAGCACTCCGAACCATTACCCCACAAATGTGGGCAAACCGTGTAAGACACACTGAAAAAGAAATTTTTAAATGGTGTGAAAGAGAGCATATACTGGACCGATTGGAAATTGCTCCCATTATTATAACACCAAATTCTGATAATTCTGACTGATTTTAGCTTAAATATTATTTAAGTTTTAAAATGTCATGTGTTGTTAATTTTATTACCTAACTGTTCTAATTATTGTTACTTCTTTTAAATATGGATGTTTATAAACTAACTGAACATAATTATTTTTTATTGTAAATTAAATCAAGCCTAAATAAAATTTGTTTGTTTTTTCATCCTTAACCTAACCTTTTTTGCCATTTTAAACCTGTGCAAAATTTATTACTATTAAATTCAGTGTTTTCCTAAAACTTTAATTTAAACATTATCAATGACCTTCATTGGCTTTTATATAGAATTCATTATACATTTAAAATTAATTGTTCCTAATAACATAGCCAAAAAAACATAACCTCATAGTTTTAAAAACTCCTACATTCTTAGACTATTTTGAAGATTGAGCAACACTGCAAGGCTATGACTTCACAACTAATTGATGACGTGTATCGGTTTTTATATTGAATGTATTATATATGTATGTTTTTTTTTGACGTCATCACTTTACGAATTATAAAGTCATTACAATTTTTTTAATAGCATCACATTTTTTTAAAGTAATTTATTCTATTGTGTGTGGGCAAAAGAGTATAAGTCAAAATTTTGAGTAAATTACTTTCAGTCATCTATACTTTCTATTAGGGTCATTATTGGACTGCCAGTTTATAATATAAATTACAAAAATACCTTTTTTTGGTGGAAAAATCAGTATAAGTCGACTTGTAAGATATATAACAGATTTACACATCTTCTAAATTTTTGACTACACTCCTTTGCCTACCCACGATAGATATAAAAGTATAAATGTTTTTTTCGTATAGACAACAAATTTTGCAAGACAATATTTTCGAGATAAAAAGTTTTAAAAATTGTAATGGACGATTAACAATGTTTTGCAAGAATTTTAGAATCGACTAGCATATTGACAAATGAAGAAAAGTTTGAAATTCGAATAGTTCGAATATTCATAATTGAATACTAAAACTTTTTGGTGAATATACTTAAGAAAATATACTCTATTAAATGGTACTATCAAAAAATAATGGCTCCGCATTTAAAAAACTGGTGATAGCGTCATATTTAGAATATGTGCATCTAAAAATTAGTTTTTTAACTTGACCCATAAACATTTTATTAAATTTGTTCTTACACCTATACGTGCTCACTACATAATAATATATTGAAATATACCCTAAATCACTGTACCTATTTGGGGCGGGTACCTTTAAAAGTAAATAAAGAAATATTATTATAATTACCTTGATTAACGAAAATTAATGAACTAAAACCACGTATTACCGTAAAAACTGAGTCTCGAATAACTTTCAAAAAGAGAAAAGTTAGATAATAATTAATATTTAAGAATATATCGATTACATTTTCAACGGGCGGACAGCTAGTTCTATGTAGACAGCATAGGTAAATTGTTTGATACTTAAAAAACTGTGGACAGCCTATTATTATGGAAATCCACGTTAGTCTTTTCCAATGACCAATCAATCAACTTTTTGTTTGCTAAAATAATTAATAATCGATGTTTTTTTTTATTATTCTTTCTTGGCACAGAGATTTCACACTATTGGCCAGAAAATTTGAAATCAACAGCTTCATATTACATAAATTTTTATATGATATTTGAATTTATTTTAATATCATATTTTTAATTCTATCTTTTGTAGAAGAATAAAGTCCTTCTACCAACAAAAAACAATGTCCTAGTCAACAAATTAATAACAACACAAATTAATATTAGAAGTGGTTTCTAGGGCCGGACTTGGAAAAAGTTAACAATTACAGAGTACAGAGTCCGTTAAAAATGAATTAACACCGCCATCTTGTAGTTTTAGACCCAATTTTTCTGCTGGTATGGCCAGAGTTTGAGTAAAACGTTCAGTCTGTATTTTACTTGAAATTAAAAGCTATACAGCGTAAACTTTAATTTGTTTACTATCCGAAAAGTTGTTTTTGTGACCTGTGACTCTGATCATTTTCTCCAGTGTTCTTCAATTTGTTCATCCCATATCCATAAACAATTTGCTTTCAATTTTACCTTTTTAATCTGGCCAAAGATTTATGAGTCACCAGGTGGTATATATAAACAAAAATTATTTCTATCTAATTTTTTTGACCAAAATAAGTATTTCACTTGGTATATTAATCATTAAGTACGATTATTAAAAACAAACTGTTGCAAAAATTTGTCAAAAATCAAAAAAATAATGTATCGTCCCACTCTTTTCTAACAAATATCTTTTATAGCAATAAAACTAGCAGACAGGAGATAAAAACTATTGAATAACAATCAATGTTAATATAAACAACTTATTTATAAAAGTTATGACATTCATTATAATTAGTTAATCTTTGACTGAACGTATAACGAGAAACACTTTATATTTTTTTGCATAAAAATGAGATTTTCTTTCATTGTAATTTTAACGTTTTTGGTAACTATCACATATGCTGAAGAAGGTATGTATTACTATATATCATTATTGCTTTTCTAAGTTTTAAATTAAATATGAAATTTCCTCTTTTTATTGTCATTACAGATTTTAAATTAATTTAGACGTGATGGTCAAAAACTGAACACGAATTGTCTAAAAACTACATGTAGATCTGTCATTATTGTGGTGCAATTTGTACCTATTCAAACAGCTTGTTTATTTTGGTTTAATTTTTTTTTTTTTTTTAGAAAATTGTAACTATCATGGACACTTGATCTACGAAGACTTGGGATGCAAACCAGTGACCAAAGATGGCCATGCTTGTCCTGTTGAATACACTTGTAATTTCGAAATCAAAAACAATACTTGCAATTTCAGAGGACGAAATCTTCCGCTTCATGAAAAACTCACAGACGATGATACATATGCAGCCTGTATCGTTGGTTGTTATTGTCAATCGACGTAAGTAAATTAATATAATAAATAATAATTCAGTCGTTACAATGTTGCGAAATCCAACCCAAATGTTTTTTATATTTTGACAATTCTGTTGTAGATGTCAACTTTTTAAATTGGACACTCCTCTATTTTAATTTTAAGGTGAAGGGTGAGAAAAAGTCCTTTATATCTCACCCTTCACCTTAAAATTACCTCAACTCACACATGGCTACCCCCCTTGTCAACCTCTATTTTAATTCCAAATTATACGAAAACATGAACATTAACATGAATTTTACATAATATGATGAAAATAATAAAAAAATATCCATTTACAAAATTGAAAATATTGATATTTTGTTTATTCGAAATTTAAACATGTTTTTTTCTTACCCCGTATAATAAAAGATCCTTTAATGACATATACTAGTTAATTCCATATGAAATTTCAATTTCAAATTTTAACTAACTAACCAAAAGTCTTTTTTATTTCAAAATGATTTGTTTTTTCATAAATTAGAAATTTTAGCTTCACTTTATTATACAGAGTGGCCGTAAAATTTTTTGTTCTATCGGAATCCGGAATAAAAATAGGGGTATTCCATTAAAAATAAGAAAGTTGTTTTACTTTCTTCGTTTTCGTTTTTTGTTGCCTATTTTTTTTATAATTAAGTACTTTTTTTCAGTGACAAATTCACTTGCGCCATATTGGATTGCCCCGAATGGTTAGGCGTCCCTGTGAAATTCGGATGTTATCGAAAATACCAAGTGGGAAAATGTTGTTCTGTCGGCCAAATATGTCGTAAGTAAAATAAACTAGTAAAAATATGTACCGGGTGGCTCAATGAGACTCGATTTCGGATGCGTTACAGTTTTTGATCTCCTAATTTAAGTGTCCATGGGTTCAAAGTTCTCCTATGACTAGTTTTTGAGATTAGGATGTTGAAACTTAGTTTGATTTATAAACTATTGCGGGCATTAACTTCGAGATTTTTAAAGAAAACAAAAAGAGCTTTCTTGACTTGTTTTCCTGCGAAGATTTTCTTCTAAAAACAACACACATCAATCACAAAATGTATAAAATGAGTTGGGCGCGCCATCTAGTAATCAAAAGCAATAATCTACATACAGGGTGGACCGGATTTAATTTACGTATACAGAGATCTCGTAAACCGTAAGATATATACATCGTCGGTTAAATGGGGGAAAAGTTTGGATTTTTAACTGTAATTTTTTATAGCTTTTGTATAGCTAAATACAACGATATGTTACATTTTACTATGTTTCGTCTATGAAAATATCATCAGCTATGTAGCTTCTGATAATACCGTTTCTTACTTGATTAAAACAAGATAGCTAATTAAATAATAATTAAAAAACAAAAAATGCTTAAAATGTAAAATTTTAAATATTATTTGAAACATAATACAAGAATTATTTAATTACAAATGTGTTACAATTTTTTATCAAACATGATTAAGTACAACTAGCAAACAAGACTAATGAAGAACGAATTATGGTTGTACACATTCTAAAAATAATAAAGCTAATAACAAAAACAAAATTCAAAAACAAAAACAGTCACAATAGTTGCTCAAAATGTAGTCCATTCTGTTAGATACAGAGTACAATTCTCCTAGACATTTGGGATGTAGTTTTATCAACCATTTTGGTGTAATTTTTTCAAATTCATCTACTATTTGTTTGACGAAGTTTTTGTAAATTATTTGGCATATTTTTGTCGTAAATTTAGTTCTTTACGAAGCCCCATACAAAATAATCCATGGGGTTAAGACACGGAGATCGAAGAAGCCATCTTATTGGTCCATTGGTGTCAAACACTGAGCTAAAGGCATTATTAGAAGCATCTAAAAAACATGACTTGGTAATTAATAATTCTAAATCAACTATTATGTTATTCGGAAATAATATATTACCTAATGAGTTAATAATCAAAATTGAAAACGACCCTTTAAACACTACTGAGCAGGCTAGAAATTTAGGTGTCATAATCGATAACAAATTAAGATTTACCAATCACACATCATTTATATTAAAGAAGGCTTATGGAAAATTAAAAGTTTTATATCCCAATAGACATATTTTAAGTAGGAAACTCAAAATACTACTTTGTGAATCGCTTGTCCTCTCACAAACTAACCACTGTGACTACGTATATGGTCCCTGCTTAACTTCAAGAGATTCAGGCAGACTACAGAGGCTTCAAAATTCTTGTTTACGATTAATCTTCAGTATAAGAAAATTTGATCCAATTAGTCATACATTAGTAACTGCTCGCTGGCTGAATATGACTCGCAGAAGGTTATTACATTCGTTGACATTGCTCCACAAAGTTATCGTAAACACAACTCCCCCTTACCTAACCAATAAAATAAAGTATAGATCAGATGTGCATAATATTAATATCAGAAGAAAAAAAATTATTTCTATTCCAGTCCATAGAACTACCTTTTTCGAAAAATCTTTTAGATATAATATTTTCAAAGCATACAATCTTCTACCAGACAATTTTAAATTAATGAAAATATCTCAATTCAAACAAAAACTTTTTGAAAAATTATTTAGCGAACAGTGTTGAAACTAATTATTTCACCTATTTATTTATTTATTTATTTATGCAAATGTGTTATAAATGTGTTATAAATGTGTTATAAATGTGTTATAAATTTATTATGACTTTTCTTCTAAATCGCGATTTCTTACATTTTACTATTAATATTATTTTTTTTTTAATTTATTTATATATGTATACATATGTGTGTGTATGTATATATATATTTTGGGTTCTTAAGGAAGAGCAGCCTAGCTGATTTTGCGCCCTTTAACCAACGTTTGCCTTTTTCTTATTTTTTATGTATATAGGTACTATAGTGAATATTCTATTTTAATTTACTTGTATTTTGTTGGTTAATAAAGACATTTATTATTATTATTATTATAATCCAATTACCTCTAAAATATTGATCGAGATACTCTGCAACCCTCCTAGTATTGTGTGCACCACAACCGTCTTGCATAAGGTATTGAAGATTTTGTCTTGTTTGTAAGGGCTTCTCATCGAGTACTTCCTCCAATAAATGTAGGTATCGGAACTGATTTAAATTACCATCCAAAAAAATCGGCCCAATAATCTGATTATTGATTAGTCCACACCACACATTTTGGGTAAAACGGAACTGTGGTCTACTTCTCTGATTAAATGGGGATTAAAAGTAGCATACAAATGCTTGTTCTTGGGATTAAATATTCTACTATTAGTAAAGGAGCATTCATCCGTCCATAATATCTTTTTGTTGAAAGAACGGTCATTCCGCAGTTTTCTACTATACCAATGACAAAACATCAGTCTTATATCAGAGTCTCCAGCGTGTAAATTCTGGACTTTTTGAAATTTATACCCGTGGTATTTATGTTTCGTTAAAATTCTTTTAACAGTGGATGTTTCTACTACACATTCTTTAGCTATTCGCCTAGTAGAATTTTCAGGGTTAATATGTATTTGGGCAAGAACATTAATTTCATTATCAGTATGTCGAACCTGATATCTAGTTCTTTTTTTCACACTGCTACGCTCTGCCATATTTTTTGAAATATAAGTAAATATCCTCTTAGATGGCTGTTGTCTATCAGGATATAAATCTAAATAAGTCTGAGCTGATCGGGTTTCATTCCTATCGTATCTTATGTACACATCATACATATCTTTCTTCTCTTCAGTATAACGAACCATAATATTTATTTAATTTTAAATTATTTCAAGCTAAAAAAGTACTGTAATATTAGATTATAACAGAAATATTGGTAACAAGTTACAACTGACATGCATGGCAAACATGATTTTGTTAAGATCTTCTGTGTGCAAAAATGAAAACATTAAAGATAGAAAAAATACGGTGTGAGAAACGTAAGCGAAAGATTTTACAGAAAATCAGGTGATAGGAATTTATAGATTGCTTGACCATTTTGCTTTTCATTTTATGTTTTTGTTATTAGCTTTATTATTTGTAGAATGTGTACAACCATAATTCGTTCTTCATTAGTCTTGTTTGCTGGTTGTACTTAATCATGTTTGATAAAAAATTGTAATCCATTTTGTAATTAAATAATTCTTGTATTATGTTTCAAATAATATTTAAAATTTCACATTTTTTGTTTTTTAATTATTATTTAATTAGCTATCTTGTTTTAATCAAGTATTTAGCTATACAAAAGCTATAAAAAATTACAGTTAAAAATCCAGATCCGTATTTAAAAAAATAAGTTGAAGGCGGCCCTGGAAATACGAAACGTCGTAATAAAAATTTAACTTAATTTATAACAAAAACTTTGTATAATTTTTTTTGTATCTTTTATAATAACAACGCACGACTTAAAAAACGAAAGGGAGGTTTTTCGGATTTTATCAAATATCTCCGGAACCAGTCAGAAAATCTGGAACTTCTATGGACCATTGTATTATCGGTTTACGAGATCTCTGTATACGCAAATTAAATCCGGTCCACCTTATATACGAACGGTAGGATGATTTTATAAATCAGCGTGATAATTCGAAAAGAATAAAGTTTATTAATAACATCCCCAATATTGTTAATAAAGGTTTACCACCAAGACAAAAAACTAACGAAGGACCTTAATATTCCGTTTAATATACTTAAATGCCCAAAGTTTACTTAACAAAATTCAAATAAGTTTACCAAGGACATTGATGAATCTGAAAATAAAATCGTTGAATATAATCTGATCAAATGTAACTCCTCAAATTGAAGCACAGGAAGAGTCGTAATTTACATGAAGGATAATTTAAAGTTTTTTATTGCTAAGATCTTTGTGCTTGAGCTAAATTATTGGTGCAAAATAATCAAACATGATCTTGGTGGCTGTCAGTTGTTTTTACCATTCACCAACAAGTTCTGATGCTGTATTTTTGGACAGTTTGAAAAATACATGTGATATTATTTTTGCTAATATTCAACGGTGTTTTTTAATTAATAACTCATAGTATTTATAAAATCTTTAATGTCAAAATGTTGGAAGAAGTATTTGAAACGTGTGGTCATGTTATCTTTAATCTAATTAATACTTCTCTTCAAACTGCAACAACAGTATCAGATTCATTAAAAGTAAGTACAATAGTTCTAATTCCTAAAGCAAATAATATAAATCCTTCTAAATTCCGAACTATAAATACTTTTCCACCTATGGAAAAATTTCTTGAATTAGTTTTATATAAACAACTATATTTTATTTATCAACCAATCTGGAGGTTTTCCTAGATGCTACTTCAGTCATTGAAATTTTTTCCCCGAAAGTATACTTGAGTTAGGACCTTAAGCCTTTCTTATTGAGCCACCCTTTATAGTGCTGCTTAGAAATTTAAATCATTTAGGCATTTTTTTTTTAATTTTTGCAGCCACCGAATCGACGCCATCAGCAGAATGTAAAACTAGTGAAGGCAAATTCGTAGAAGGCCAACGGTTTCATCCTGCTAACACTTGCTTGGAATGCGTGTGCAACAAAGGATACGAAGGCAAAAACGAACCGCCATTTTGTAGGAAACAAATGTGCGCCGCTGAAGTACGTCACAGCGAAGAAGTGCACAAGTACTGTGCACCACATTACGATGGTACCGACACTAAGGCACTTTGTTGTCCTGATGGATGGGTGTGTCGTAAGTATAATTTTTAGTACTGTCAATCTTACCTTATATTTTGTTTTTACTGAGATTTATAATGTTTTCTATTATTTTCAGCTTCAGAAAATGATAAGGAACTACCAGCTAATCCTGAAGTGACTGTTTCAGGTGAGTTTTTATAGATTCTTTTTTTTTATAAAATTAATTTATTTTCGATCTTTTTATAGATCTCAAATGTAAATATGGAGACAAAACATTGAAATTGGGTGAAAGAATACAAGGTCAATTCAAATGGTATGATGGTTCCCTAAGAGATTCTCAATGTGAATGTATCGTACCTCCGTTGCTGACTTGCAGGGAAGATCCTAAAAATACTCCAGCTCCAACGCCCCCCACTACTCCATCTTATACAATCGAAAAAATTCATGATTAATTCTGAATATGTATTTAACTTTGTAAAAACACTGTTAATGAATAATCAATAAATAAATATCGTTTACTATCAGACTTTAAATTTTCAAATCTGTATATTAAAACAATATAAAATGTCTAATACCTAAATATTTGGCAAATAAAAAGTTGTACAAAAACAAACACTTAATAGAAAAAGAATATTAGAGAAATCTTCTGAAAAGGATAATAACAATAATTTTTATCTAAACAAGGATTAGCATTTCGGGAAACCATAGAAACCATAGGTGAAGAGCAATGTGGAAATTATTTGGCTACACTTGAACTAATTGCCAAATTTGACCCATTCCTAAAAACTCATTTCGAAAAACATGCAAACATGAAAAGGACATGCCTCCTACCTGTCAAAGACTGTTTGTAATGAATTTTTAGAATTGTTGGCTAAATCTACCAGAGAAAAAATAATAGAAGAAATAAAAAGGGCCAAATATTACTCAATAAGCTTAGATTCAACACCTGATATTTCGCATACAGACCAGTTAACTTTTATTTTGCGGCATGTGCAACTAATTGGATCGGTGGTTGAACGTTTCATAAAATTTATTAGCCAAATTGGGCATAAAGCTGAAGATATGGAAGTAGCAATTTTGAAAACACTTGATGAATTCGCTCTATCTATCGAGGACTGCGTTGGACAGTCATACGACGATGCGTCAAATATGTCCGGCGAATATTCGGGCCTACAAGCTAGCATAAAAAAACACAATGCCAAAGCTCTATACATACACGGAAAAAATGTGACTAGAAAATTTTACTACATAGTAGACTTGTAGAAAAATACTTAACTTTTTGTAGAAAATTTTACTACAATTTATAGTTAAAAACTATTCATTATTGTAGCAATTGAATTGTCGAATAAAATCCTACAACAATAGGAAAGAAGACCACAATGTTTAGTATATTTTACTATTGTTTGTAGAAGTAGAAATTTATTACAATTATCGTAATTACTACTACTAACTTCTGTAAAAATTTGTACAAATATTAATAATAATCTCTACAAAAAATAGTAATACTTTACATCCCTTCTTATGAAAAAAATTCAATTTGTTCAAAAATATTCTATAATATTGTAGAAATTCTAAGTCATGTGAATAAAACAGAATTCTGCTATTGGCCAACGTTTTCTGACGTCGACCATAAATGGCCAGACAGCAGTAGTCGTTCGCCATGTTCACAAAACAAAGCATGGTAAATATAACACATTATTATAAGCAGTGATGGTTCAAGAAAATTTTAATAATAACTTCTATTAGTGGTAAGTACATTTATTATTGTTTCTGAATAATTTACCTTTAGATAACTTATTTAAATAACAGTAGATTATTTTAATAAAAATAGCTATGGCCAACGATGGGATGTTGTGCAAAGTTCAAAGTTTGTTTTGTTTTAATTGTGACATATCTACTTTCTAATTTTTATTTTTAGTTTCCCGACGGGGTCATTTAATATCCCAATCACTGTAAAGGTGATAGATATCCCCGTTTTATGGGTATGAGTAGTGCAATAGGTTTAATTTTTATTTCAGGTGCAGAAAAGCCAACTGAGACTAAGGAAGCTGTTATTACTGTTATTTATTACATAATGTAATTAAGACTTTGTATTTTTTTTTTATTAAAACAATAAATTTTTAATATTTTTTTAAGAAACATTTTTTCTAGGTTACAATTATAATAATTGTGGAATACTAATACAAATTTTATTAAACATTACTACAATTTGTTTGAATTTTTACTATTTATTGTACAACATTTTTAATATAAATTCATACAATGAAAAGCAAAAATATAACAATTTGTAGAACAATTCTTATGATGCATATGGATATTTTTACTGCATATTGTCCCTGTCTCTATATGTACTATTTATTGTAGAGAAAAATTGTATAATTGTAGAAATTTGTTCTACATTTTATTTTCCGTGAAGTGTAATACAACAAGACCTTGATAATAGTCAGCTATTTTTGTTGAATCTAAATCTCGAGAATATTTTAATATCAATTTGATGAGACATAATTTTTGGCATTAATAATAAGATGGTCAACAATCTGTCCTGGATTGGTTTATGAATTGTTCCAAGATCGTTGTTAGAACAAACACTTAGAATATAAAGTAGTAAGGAACGAGTGTATGCCGTATTTTCAATGGAAAACGTTACATGACAAAGTCGGCCATTATGGATAACCATTTATGAATCATTGACTGTTTATGTGTCATTTTGCAAGTTGTAACAAGTAATGTTGGTTTTACTTACCGTGTTTTAGCTCAATTTAATTAGGGCCGTGAGTAGCACTTAATAACTTTGACAAAACTTAACTATAGGAAAGGTATGGAGGGCGCCACCAAACTTACATAAACATATCATTTAAGGTGAATTATAATAGTTTGGCAAATATAATTAATATGACTGATGTTTAAACAGAACGTATATGTTTATGCAGGCAAGTAACAATTACAATCTACACAAGCCATGATTCGTTTAAATTACTTCTTTATTGAATGTTTCAAAGATAAAAGTGAAACTTATCTCAAGGTAGGACTGGTGTAGGTCTTCAATCTTTTCAAATAAGGACGGTCTCCTATAGCGATGCGTCTTCTTCTATATATGAATTAACATGTTTGTAATCATAACTGCAACTATCTTCTAATCATAACTCAACATATGTGGGACCATAACTTCAACTGTATTCTAACCATTTGTTTAAAAAATATATTTTAAACTATGTTCTCAGCGGTGTTGTAATAAAAAAACATCCAAAGGTTGACTTATCATGAAATACTGATGGTTCTCACCACTAATAAAAATATCACATACTGTTTAAGATTGCTTAAATATTAGCAGATTTAATAATCTCGACTGCCTCGTTCTGAGGTATTATTGTAAAGGACTTTTTCAAGTAATACCTGTCGAAATTCACTTTCGATCCCAACATACAACTTATAAAAAACAAAAGATAACTATATAAAATATTGGTAGCGAAAGAATGAAACTATCGGTCCTAATAGAGATGGGACAATCATTCTAAAAATATAGTTATAAAATATTAAGAAATAACGGTACTAGAAGAGTAACCGTTACAAAGTTATTAGTTGTTGAACCATTTTTAGTCATTAAAAGAATAGCGCAATAAATAAATATAGTGACAGACAATAGTTAGTTGTAGGGCTTCTCTAGATGCTCGAAAACTGCTAAAAACGACTTTTTGAAAATAAGTTTCCATCGGTAACACCATTAATTTTATAGTTCTAAGTAATATGTATTTTACGTAAAATTTTATTAGTTTAATAGTCGTTTCTAACCTAAAATTGATATGGGCGTACGTACCCTTTTTATATTGTTATAGTTATGGTTTGGTTCATTGAACACAATGTTTAATTTCAACTTATCACTAACATTGGAAAAATGGAGACAACGGAAAGTCATCAAATCTTTAAAGATAATAATGTTGGAGGAACTCAAGAAAAAAAATTGATTATGGAGGAAGACAATGTTGTTTTGGAAAATTTTGGAAATAATAAATTGTTAGGAAAACCTTGGGCAAGACATACGGAAATCGAAATGCGAACCCTCTGTTATATTATGAATTGGACAAATTATAACAGGAACTCGCGTGAAATAAATAAAGATGATTGCTAAGCAGCGCATTACCTATTATGTGCCCTGCCACGGTATCTACGACTTCCATCTCACTCCCACTTACTGTATAAAAGCAAATTTAGTTATTTTTGATCAAATTATTATTTAATATGTTCTAAATTAATATTCCAATTGAGCGAAATAAGTAGTAAACTATGAATCGTTTATATAATTATTATTATTAAAAACCAAACATTGCATAGAACATATAAAAAATTATAAAACAAAAAATAATTTATCGTCCCACTCTTTTCCAACAAATATCTTGTGTACCAAGAAAAATATATTGCATAACAAATATTAATGTAAACAGCTTATTTATTTATAAAATTTATCTCATTGTTATTAATTAAATAATCAATTTTAAACTAAACGTATATTGAGAAACATTGCTGTTAAATTTTCTTGTATAAAAATGAGATTTTTCATCATTGCCTTTTTAACGATTTTGGCAACTTTAACGTATGCTGAAGAAGGTATGTATTACCTGTGTAATATGTAATATATAATATGTATGTATGTAATATGCTTATTTTATTTAATTTTAAATTATGTATTATTGTCTAATAAACCTGAAAACTATATAGACTCTCACTACCACTATAATCATTTTATGGCTATTTTCAAACTCGAGAGAAACTGAATTCTCTGAAAATTTTTGTGAGAAATGTCACACATCGACGTAAAAACAGTATTTGAAAAGCCAGTAAAACTCAAAATGCTTTATCAGAGTTTGAAATCTCTTGAAATAAACCAACATAAACAGTCAGCGAGTTCTTACTAGCATTAAAAAACTGTTTTCACGTTGACGTATGAGATTTCTCATGAAAAATTTGAAAGAAATGAGTTTGAAAATAGGTCCCCTGGTCTAGTTTTCTTATTTTTTTTTTTAGAGAATTGTAACTATCAGGGACATTTGATCTACGAAGATTTAGGATGCAAACCAGTGACCAAAGATGGCCATGCTTGTCCAGTCGAATACACGTGTAATTTCGAAGTCAAAAACAATACTTGCACTTTCAGAGGACGAAGTGTTCAACTTTATGAAAAACTCACTGATGATGATACATATGCAGCTTGTATTATCGGTTGTCATTGTGAATCGACGTAAGTAAACTAATATCGTAATTATACCTTGCAGTCCGGTCCTTATAAATCATAGAACATCATGATTATCCGATGTCTTGATCGGACTGTAACTCGATGACGCCGTCTAGGATGTATACTTACTTTCTTTATATTTTTAACAATTATATTTCAGCTTCGTTTCATAAAAAATCTTTGTAGTTTCTTTCCGAGGCAACCGAGCATATGTCAATTATTTAATAAGTACAGATTTCAAATATATAATGTTGCGATGTTTTTTTTTTTATACTTTTCGCTTTGTTTTGCTTATTTTCGACCAATTTTTTATCATTTTTCAGCGACAAATTCGATTGTGCCGAATTGGATTGTCCCGAATGGTTAGGCGAACCCGTGAAATTTGGATGTTACCGGAAATACGAGGTTGGAAAATGCTGTTCCGAAGGCGAAATATGTCGTAAGTGAAACAAACAAACAATCGAACGAACGAACGAACGAACGAACGAACGAACGAACGAACGAACGAACGAACGAACCAACAAACAAACAAACAAACAAACAAACAAACAAACAAACAAACAAACAAACAAACAAACAAACAAACAAACAAACAAACAAACAAACAAACAAACAAACAAACAAACAAACAAACAAACAAACAAACAAACAAACAAACAAACAAACAAACAAACAAACAAACAAACAAACAAACAAACAAACAAACAAACAAACAAACAAACAAACAAACAAACAAACAAACAAACAAACAAACAAACAAACAAACAAACAAACAAACAAACAAACAAACAAACAAACAAACAAACAAACAAACAAACAAACAAACAAACAAACAAACAAACAAACAAACAAACAAACAAACAAACAAACAAACAAACAAACAAACAAACAAACAAACAAACAAACAAACAAACAAACAAACAAACAAACAAACAAACAAACAAACAAACAAACAAACAAACAAACAAACAAACAAACAAACAAACAAACAAACAAACAAACAAACAAACAAATAAACAAACAAACAAACAAACAAATAAACATAGTTTAAAAATAGTTTAGACATTTATGGAACATAAAATATTATATTATTATGTAATAAGAGTTGTAAGTAGTTTATTACGAAGTGCAAGGTTTAAGCACGAAGCCGCGTAGCGATTTACATCTCGCATTACGTACTATACTTTTTTTGGACTAATATTTCTTAAATAAAATTAACAATTATTTTTTATCTATTTTACAATTCTGTAGCCGGCGCTTAAAAGGTCATAAGTCGTTTTTTACATAAATGGAGTTTTTAGTCAAGACACGTTTAGAAGAGTGTATATTTTAGGCAGTTAAAAGGATCTAAGTATATACACGTTGTAAAGTAATAAAAATTAGGTACAAAAAACATATATAATAATACAAGGGTAACCGCGAAAGATAAAACGTCATAAACAAACAAAACAAAAATGTGTAATTCGACTTATTACCTTTTAAGCGCCGATCACAGAATTATTACAAAGATATTTAATACTATTTTCATATTACCTATATATTTCCTGTTAGTTATTTCATTCTTTTGTTTGCGATTTCTCAGGTTGTCTAGTAAAGGTCTTTAAAAAATATACCACATATTCTTTAAACCAAATACCTCGGTACAAAGTTTGTTCAGTTTGGGCTTAGACACTCCTGAACCTACAATTTTTAAATTAATTCTTAATTATAAATTTAAAATGGCATATCGAGGGTCAGAGTGTAGGACCTCGTAAATTTTTATTTTCCATTTTAGTTACTTACAATCAATATGAACAAAACAACATTTGTTATCTACCCAAAATAATTTAAACTGTTTAATTTGGACAATTATATATTGATATTTAGGATCTAAGTAATAATCCCCGAGTATAAAATGGAAAAATTTATAAAAAAACGGTGTTTTTATAAGTTTTCTTAAAATCATGTAAAAAATATACGAGGTACTGCACTGCGATCATCGATATGCGATTTTGATTAAATTTGGTAAGTTAAGAGAATTTTATATCATTACAAAAAGTATCAAAATTATGACTAACAGTCTATAAGCGCAGAACTTTTCTTTTATAATAATGATACGTTTATTATTTCCACACCAATGGAAGAAAATTGATTTGTTGGAAAATATTTAACATATTTCACTGATACATCAAGCCAACCCTGCTTCCAATTTATTTATAAGTTCCAAGGTTCATGAATCGCTATATCCTTCTCTCATATAGGTAATGCAAGTAATTCTTCCCCCATGTTTTCACCGCCAGAGCCGTATTTAGGGAAATGTGTGCAATCGGCATTAACTATTAGCATTTTATAACATGAAATTTGGATAATAAGAAAGGTACTCTTGACAGGACTTGATTACTATTATGGTTTTGGTAAAATTCCTGTTTTAATAAATTGGAATGAAAGTGCCTCATACAAATTACTGAGGCCCTTCCTATGGGGCCTCAGTATTGCATTCGTGCATACGAAAAAATTTTCTTACCCCATTTTTTAAAACTTTTTTTCATGTTTCCGAAATCATTTCTCGGTTTTGTTACGCTACGAGTTTACCCTTGTGGGCCTCAGTCTCGATAAAGTGGGAAGCACCATTTTAGCGTCTCTCGAATTTATTTACTAAAATATGTATACAAATAACAAAGATTTCATAAAAAATTTCCAAAGTGTTCACCAGTTTCATGATTACAAAGATTTATACGCTGAAGAAAATTCAAATGGGCTTTTTGCATAACTTCTTCATCAGTTCTAAGATTATTTGTTGCATCTTGGATACTATGTCACAACTGAAGACCTTGGGATAATAAGGTTATATGCCACATTGTAAGTTTTCAGAAAATTGTGCTATAAATTTGTTTTAAATCTATCAAATACAAATAAAAAAATTATTTAAATATACATATTACGAAAAATAGCGCCATCTTTAGGATTAGAGGTAAAACAATTTGTATGTGGCTAGTATCCTTGTTAACAGATGTTTTGAGCTAAAACAGTCACTTCACGACTAATTGTGGCTTGCATCCTTTTTACACCAAGGGCTTCAATTGTCCTGCATTATTTTCATTAATTTTGTGTTTATTACACAGTAAATTGAGCATAACAAATGCAGAGACTAATATTAACTGCATATAATTTCATTAAAATCATTTTCTCATAAAAAACAAGTACTTTTTCAACATTTTAAGTATACAGGTATTTTAAACTTATTGGTATTATTATTTATGGTGCGATTTTCTGCATTTACAAGAATGGGAGTAGAAAAAATTATATACGTATTCATCTTACTTCAATTTTTTTTACAGCCACTGAATCCACGCCACCCCCAGAATGTTTAATTAATGGAGTCATATCCGTAGAAGGTGAAAGATATTTTCCTGCTAACACCTGCTTGGAGTGCGTTTGCAATAAAGGATACAAAGGCAAAAACGAACCGCCATTTTGTAGAAATCAAATTTGCGCCGCCGAAGCACATCACAGCGAAGAAATTCACAAGTACTGTGCACCACATTACGGCGGTACCGACTCTAGGGTGCTTTGTTGTCCTGATGGATGGGTGTGTCGTAAGTCTCATTTTTGGAACTGTCATTCTCATGTTGTTATTAACATTTATGATATTTTCTATTATTTTCAGCTTCACATAATGATAAGACGCTGCCAGCTAATCCTAAAGCAGCAACTTCAAGTGAGTTTTTATAGCTTTTTATTATTTTTAATATTAAGAATGTATTTTCTGGTTTTTACAGATCTCAAATGTAAATATGGAGACAAAACATTAAAGTTGGGTGAAAGAATACAAGGTCAATTCAAATGGTACGATGGTTCCCTAAGAGATTCTCAATGTGAATGCATCGTACCTCCGTTGATGACGTGCAGAGATGTTCCGAGAATTACTCCAACTTCAACATCTACTACTCCATCATATATAATTGAAACAATTCATGATTAATTCTGAATATTTATTTCATTTCATAGTTTCTTTAACTTAGTTTGTTAAAACCCATAATCTTGAAAGTAAACAGTGTGTCAAACTTGTTAAAAGTTTTATTTATGAAAATACATTTTAAAAATGGTATTCAACACAGCAAAATGCAAAATTATCCAGTTTTGAAGTGATAATTAAAATTTATATTAATTATACACGCTTGTCAATCACGCTTCTATTATAGTTTGTACAATAAAGATTTAAAATAGTCACAGTTCATATCATTATTCTATATCAAACATTGGTCTTTCGAACAGGATAATCAAGTCGTAAGAGCCTGTAAACCATAAGCAAGTGAGTCGTTTCTATATCCCTTTCTCGCAACCTTTTAATCCTTTATCACAAACTTTCAATAAAAAGGTGATAATTCCTCATGGCAAAACTTACAAAATTAAGAAGAAAAATAAGTTTTATAAAACAAATTTTAGAAATGTTCTAAATAAAATTAAAATTTTGCAATCTACATATTCAATTGATGATATTTCTATTAAAGATAGACTCGAACATTAACAAAATTTATTAACACAATTTAATGGAATTTAATATGAAACATGAAACAATTTAGAAGAAAATATAAAACTATCAGATATAGTTTTGCCAAAATTTGATGGCACTTATGAAAATTGGTTACAGTTCAAGATTATCTTTGGGTATTTGATTCATTCAAGAAATAAAATATTCGTGCATTTTTTATGTTGAAAACGTGGCTCCACGAGTGTAAATCAGCGGGTAACAGCTAGTTTATAAATAATAGGATAATATTTCAAAGGGTGATTAAAAATCTAATAGGTGGACAAGATGGTCAACCCTACGGTATATCCAGTTTTGAAAAATAGGTGTTCAAAATCAAATCTAATTTAAAAAGACCAGCTCATATTTTTGTATTTCGATATGATCCCCTAGTTCAACAATTTAAGATTCATACGAAGGGAAATCACAGAGGATTTTATCGTTAATAAGGACAGATAATAGAATTTTCCAGGTTTTTAAACACTACCAATAAAGATAGACCAATACATACCATTATGTTGTTTACATCATTAGAATATTTAAGTTATTTAATACTGTCATGTAATTTATTGACAATAATTGTTATCTTATTTATAAAAATTTAAATTCTATTAATTAAAATAATCTAAATTGCATTTAAAAATAAATTGCGATTAATGCTTTGTAGGGGCAAGTAAGTCATTATATCATACAAAAAAAATAAACTAAATGAAATGTAAACAACTTATTTATAAAATTAATAACATTATTATTAATTAGTTAATCTTTAACTGAACGTATAACGAGAAACATTGTTTAAATTTTCTTGAATGAAAATGAGATTTTTTTTCATAACTTTTTTAATGTTTTTGTTTACTCTCACGTACGCTGAAGAAGGTATGTATTACCTGTGATATAATTATTGATTGTTTCGATAATTTATTATTGTCTAATGAGCCTAAAAACTTTACATATAGAATCTCACTACCACTAGCACGTGGTACAATATTTTTTTCTATTTTTTAGAGAATTGCGATTATCATGGACACTTGATCTACGAAGACTTGGGATGCAAACCAGTGACCAAAGATGGTCATGCTTGTCCTGTCGAATATAAGTGTAATTTCGAAGTCAAAAACAATACTTGCACTTTCAGAGGACGAAGTGTTCAGCCCTATGAAAAACTCACTGATGATGATACTTATGCAGCTTGTATTATCGGTTGTTATTGTCAATCGACGTAAGTAAATTAATAACGTAATTATACCTCGCAGTCCGGTTCTTATAGAACATTTATGAAGTAACTTATGATTATCCGATGTCATAATCGGACTCTTAACTATATTAAATATATAATTAAAGTAATTAACCTCTTTTTTCTAATATTCATAATCTTGTGCTAATCTACGTCTACATAGTGTTTCCTCATGAAATCAAAATCACAGTCCCCTAAATCTTATCGAAATAAACCCAGATTTTCTCTCGAAAGGAGTATAATTACTAATAAAATGATACAGTAATAAAACGATAGTGCACTAAATAACTAATTGATTATGAAACTGGGTAGAGGATGCACAATGGTAAATTAATTCAGTTTAATGCAATATATCTTATAAAAATCCTTTAACCAGCAGTCCTATTTCTTTGGCTTAGAAAGATTTATTTTATACAAACATGAGGGTTTATTTGGACTCAATTAAAAACTATTGAAATTGTTTTCATTCTTTGAAAAAATGATAGAGAGTTACAGGTTTAATCTGTCTCTTACATAACCATTATTTCTGTAACAAGTCTAAAATTGTAAGTGCCGGCAACGCCGCAATAACGTCAAAATTTAGGACCAGTCAAACGAAGTCTCTCTACACAATTAGTCAAATCATAAAATCTCTTGTAAAACAAATTTAGACAAAAACTTGTTATTTGTATTCGTTTTGTCTTGCTTATCTTCTATTTTTTATCACTAAACATTTTTTCAGCAACAAATTTGAATGTGCCGAATTGGATTGCCCCGAATGGTTAGGCGAATCTGTGACATTTGGATGTTACCGAAAGTACGAGCTTGGAAAATGTTGTTCCGAGGGCGAAATATGTCGTAAGTCAACTAAACAAGCAAATATATAGTACATAAAATGCATTATGTAATAAGAGTTGTAAGTAGCCCATTACCAAGTGAAAAGTTTAAAACTTACAACTCGTGTTACGTACTATATTTTTTATACGTTCACTATTTCTAAATTTAAATGAAAGTAATCATTTTATTTATTTTACAATAATAAAAATGTTTTACGAGAAAGTTTCTGAAAATAAGCAATAAGGGCGTTTTTGTAAAAGGATTCGACATTATATTCATTCGCCCATACATATCTTTATTTATATTTCACTAGTAATATATTATTTGTGGATAGGGCTTTCAAAATAATATCTCATCATTATTTTACATTCACCTAATAAAAATTAGGAGACATACTAATTAAATTGTTAACAAATATTTGAAGGAAAACTTTTTGCAAGAAAAAATTAATTTTGTTTTCTAAAACATAAATTTTCCAAAGCCTGCTACAAAAAAAATTGTTGGAAATATATCCAACGTAATACATTAATACATCAGGCTGACCCTGCCCTGAGTGCCAAATAGATCAATCAATTAATAATGAAACAATTAATTCTTTAATAATTATTAATCCATTCAATCATTAATAATAGTTTACAACTCGAGAAATTATTTATAAAAGTGTAGAAACATAATTTTAAACAAAAATTTTCAAATTTTAACAGATGTTAAAGTTAAAGAGTATCAAAATTGAATTATTTGTTATAAATTTGAGAACTAACAGATTTATAAACTTTAAAATTTGAGAAAATATTTATAGTGTAGAAACATAATTTTGCAAACAAAAATTTAAAATTTTAACAGATGTTGAAGTTAGAGAGTATCAAACTTGAATTCTTATTTGTTATAAATTTAACATTGGAGCTTTTATTTCGTCACTATTTCCAAACTAACAGATTTATAAACTTCAAAATTTCAGAAAATATTTACAAAAATTGTAGAAACATAATTTTGCAAACAGCATTTTAAAATTTTAACAGTTGTTGTAGTTAGAGAGCATGAAATTTAACTTCTTATTTGTTATAAATTGTAACGGTTGGAACTGTTATTCGTTATCATCTCTACTCAAATGTCATTTATGCCTTGTGTCAAAAGTTCGTATTTCATTTGATTTGAATCTGTCAACGAATCAAGTTGATTTTAATTTTTAATATATCTTGGATATCCGATGTACTAATTGATTTTTAATTTTCGTATATTCCGTCTGATTTTGTAAGGTAAGTTGTAATACTGATATATTGTTGAAAATATAATGTACAAGAATTTCTTAAATAAAATGTCAAATTTTGAACATAACCTCAATACCTATCAACAATGAGTTAACGTACATGGATAACACGTTTTATATAATTTTATATATTATTTTGTTTGGAATAAGATATTATGCTTTACTATGTTTAAATATGTTAAATAAGATTTTTCCTTTTCATATTTAATGTGAGGCCAGAATAGTAAAGATTAGTACCTGGCTTTTTACTATTCTACTATTACCTACACGACCAAGTAATACCGCCTGTAGTCAATTTTTTCCTTTTACACTATTGGAATATTTATTGTCAGGCCAGAATATTGTATCTTGCTTTTTTTTACTATTACCTACACGACCACGTAATACCACCTGTAGTCATTTTTTTCCTCTAACACCATTGGAATATTTATGAGTAGGACCAGATATTACCTGCTAACTTTTAACTGTCTGCTACTGCTTATTTTTTAAAGCAATACTGTCTGTAATAGCTACCTTAATTTTTGGTAATATGTATTCAGTTACTAATAGTATTTTTTTTTTAATTTCTACCTAATTTCCTAGTTAACATAATTTTCTCTTTATTTGTTACTATAATTTTGCATAAGTATTTGAAACTATCTAGTTTGCAATTACCAATTTAGGAGAGTGTCCGAATTTATTAATATGATTCTGTACAAGTTTTTAAAACTGAGACGTCAGTTTGCATTTACCATATTAGGAGAGTATAGAAATATATTTATAATTTTTTTCTTGCTATTTGAATCTTAGTGCAGTGATTTATTAAATGTTTTTACCTACTTTTTATTAAATTTTAGTAAATTAAATTTTACATATTCTTTAGAATTTGAGTTTCTTCCCTTTATAATTAATTCTTTATTATGACTATTTAACTGAAACATTTATTAGGAATTTTTTTTTCTTGATTGGTAGTAAATCTATATATTGTTATTGAACTTGAGTAATATTTTAATTTGTTTACCTTTTCCTTAAATTCAATATTAAAATACCTAAGTTGACTTTGAACTATATTATCTAGCATTTCATGTTTTTTCTTTATATGGTTAAGTAAGTACCTCACTATTGCATAACTATTTGATTCCGAACCAACTTTAAATTATTATATTTAAATACAAGTAGTAAAAGTTTGTATATCTTTATTCTTTTTTCATTTATAATTTAAGAATTTATGCTTTTAGCAATATCATTTGATACCTCTGTTTTCACTTTATATTGAAAATAATTTAGTTGAGTATTGCAAAATTTCATAAAATTTGACATTGGAATTTTTGTTTCGTCCCTATTTCCAAACTAATGCATTTATAAACTTCAAAATTTCAGAAAATATTTCTAAAAAGTCTAGAAACATAATTTTGCAAACACCATTTTTAAATTTTAAGAGATATTGAAGTTAGAGAGTGTCAAAGTTGAATTACTTGTTATAAATTCATTAATTTTATAAAAAAAATTATTTACGTATTTAATTTTTTTATTGCAGCCACCGAATCTACGCCAACAGCCGAATGTAAAACTACTGGAGGCAAATACGTAGAAGGCGAAAAATATTATCCTGCTAACACTTGCTTGGAGTGCGTTTGCAACAAAGGATACGAAGGCAAAAACGAATCGCCATTTTGTAGGAAACAAATGTGCGCCGTTGAAGTAGATCACAGCAAAGAAGTGCACAAATACTGTGCACCACATTACGATGGTACCGACTCCAAAGCACTTTGTTGTCCTAGCGGGTGGGTGTGTCGTAAGTATCATTTTTGGAACTGTCATTCTCATGTTTCTAATAACTATAATGTTTTCTACTATTTTCAGCTTCAAATAATGATAAAGTGCTACCAGCTAATCCTGAAGCAACTGTTTCAGGTGAGTTTTTATAGATTCTTATTTTAATAATATTAAAAATGTATTTTCGTTTTTTTACAGATCTCAAATGTAGATATGGAGATAAAATCTTAAAATTGGGTGAAAGAATACAAGGTCAATACAGAGCGTTCGATAATTCCCTAAATGATTCTCAATGCGAATGCATTGTACCTCCGTTGATGACTTGCAGAGATGTTCCGAAAATTACTCCAACTCCAACAATCACTACTCCATCACTAATAATCAAACACATTCCAAATTAATTCTGAATGTTTATTATTCCATTCCTATTGTTTAATTTGTTAAAACCAGTGTTAATTATATGTACCCAATCAATAAATAAATATTATTTATCATCGGTTTAGAACTTTAAAGTACTTGTACGATAAATAAAAGGATTTGCAATCATTCTTCATGCGGCAAATAAATACATCTACATCTACTATAAGGTTTACAAAAATTACAAACAGGGCGATATATTTCATGAACTATTGATGTCAGAAAATTTTCAAAACTCTTAAATCACAAAAAAAAGACTTTCTTGATATTAATATCACAGTTTAAAGAATATACCTATAATATATCTTCTTTAAAGTGTGCTAGTATAATAAAGTCCAGTTAAATCATTTATAACGTTTTTAATATGTTTATATCAATAACGTAACTGTATTAGAGATATTACGTAACTAAGTAAACATAAACAATTCGTTTTGAAAGGGTGTGTTTAGTTGTTGACACTGTTTCGAGATAATCAGTCCAGACGATAAATTTTTAAATATCCTTTAATCAATACATGTGCTTGCATTTGTATAAAGCCAGGTTGTAAAATAAAATACTAAGAAGTGACGAGCGTAAATATACATGGTATTTCAAAAGAGAGTTTATTATACTCTTCATACAGTAGTCTGTGAAGAGTATTATTATAGAGCTACTGTATGTTGGTGGTTTTTACCCTTCTATGATTTCAGTTGGTGTAATTTTTACTTTGAACAATGGCTCTTCAATTACATAGCTACATAACAAATTTTATAAAAATCGAACGAAGCGTTTTTGAGTTAAGAAAAAAATGAAAATGTTCTTTCGACATTGAAGATTTCTCACAGGCAAACGAAGCACTTTGTGATATAGGTAATTTTGGCTCAATCGACTTATTTTGATCTCACTAATATACAGTAGCTCTATTGTACAAGAAATTTTGGGACACCCTTTATATAGAAAATTTATCTCTTATTCCTTTTTTGTTTATATTTTTTTCGGGGAGAAAACGCTATAGGAAGGAAATAATTACACTTTTTTTATTAAAAATTATGCGACACTTCTTTGCCGAGTACATATTATTATTTTAATTTGAATTTTTTGACTGCGGAAACTGAGTCCATTCGCACTTTGTGAAAAAAGAAAAATTATCTTTGATCGAATATATATAGAATTTAATTTGATATTAATTCAAATCTAACTCGTAACCAAAGGATTATTTTTTAATTTATTTCAGCAATAAAATATCGTCTTAATTTATGTCTAATTTTCTACAAGACATTAAAAAATTCTTATAGGAGCAGCCTTGATGATATTTAAAAATATATTTGATCCCTTTTAGTCATAAAAGTCAATTTTAAAAGATTACTTATAGTTATAAATAAAAGTCATTTTTAATATTTTTTATTTTATAAGAAAAACAATTTAAATTGGGCCAATTAAAAAATTTTAATGACCCATAAACCAATTTTTAAGAGAGTATTTTTATATCATTCAGTTCTTAATTGTATCAACAATAAATTTTATTGATTGGTTTCTAAATGTCTGTATTGAACGGTGCCATTATTTTTTGTTAAGAGAGGCATCTTCAAGCAAGTATTTTTCGCTCAATTTGCATGTGCTCGTTCGGCTCTTACGAAACTGCATCCCAAAAAGGGTTCCCTACCTGATTCGAAAAAGATCACAACGAAATTTCATCACCATAAAGTAAGGGGTCACTTATCGTAGGCTAAGCAAATTTAGCTGTAAAATTGTGCCATTGTTGCCACCTTTTGCATTGTTTATTAAAAATTCTATAAACATTCACTTTATATTCAGTCAGTAACATTTTCAGAAAATAGTTTTTAGCCAGTAAAGTTTTAAGAATATCGATTCTTTTTAGTAACTTCTCTTATTTTATTAACACAGTGTCTAGGTACACGCTAACTTGTACGCGATTCAAAAATTTATATACACGCGAAACGTCTTGACAGAGTAGGTGAGCTGTGTGCAGGCCGTTGGTGTTTACGCCGGTCGTAGCTAGGTACGGATTAAATATTTTTTGTGGCGGCGAAGCCGCCACCCTACGAGAGTTGAGTACTTCGTTTTCTTGTTGTCACGGCATTATTATTATTTGTTCATGTATGTGAAATTTGCTTCTAAGGTTTATAAAATACTACTGTGCTATAGTCTATTTTTATGTATGAGAGAGTATTAAAATAATAAAGCGTTCGTAATCCATAGGCGTACCACTTCTTTTAGTAGACAGTATTTTTTGAAGTTATTCCTCGAGTATACCTTATATTTTCACCTAATTAACCTGCTTATAACTTTTAAACAGCTGAAGGTAAAAAAGTGCAATTTTTTCTAAAATGTTTTATTTTTCCACAAGGTATGTTAAGAACATTGTGTCAAACGGATTATGTAGGTATAAGGGTTTAAACTTTGACTTTTAAACAACGTCACGTTCATAAATAATAATTTTAATATAAAAACTACTTCTTACCTACAAATCAAAATCAGAATCGAAATCAGAAGATGAACTGTCGCAACCAATATTTACAATGAGTGGCTCGATCATTTCATCAGTAATATTGTCCAACTTCCACATTTTCTCTTCTTCTTTAATCGTATGATTTACTGCCTTTTCCCAGTTTTCAGGCTTCACATTATTTACGGCCTCCAAAAACAACTGTTTAACATCACTCATTTTAATAGAATTATTTTTTCTTGAAACTTATACCTTTATCTGTGCCCATATCAGTTCAATCGGGTTTACTTCGCAATGATATGGTGGTGATCTAACCACCGTCATCCCACGATTTTTTGCAATTTCATCAATTTCATATTTTTTGAATTTCTCTTTATGAAGGGAACACAAATGATACAGTTCTTTTCTCACAGAACCGGGATGGAACTTAATATTCTTTGAATTCAGCCAATTCTGTAAATCTTTTTTTTAACCACTTGGTTGTGGGCATTTTTTCTATAAGTCTCGAGTGATAACTTGCATTATCCATTACTATTATACAGTTCTGAGGAAGAAGATCAGTAAAGGAGCAACACGGGTTCGGCCTCATTCCCCATGTTAATTCCCATAAGAAATCGCTAAGGTTCATTCTGGCAATTTTTGTCCAAAAGTCCAAAGGTCATTCGTCTTGACGTCACGCAGAAACGTCAAACGTTAAACGTGAATCGTCAAACGTTAAACGTGAATCGTCAAACGTTAACCGTAAAACGTCAAACGTTAACCGTAAAACGTCAAACGTTAACCGTAAAACGTCAACTATCAAACGTCAACTATCAAACGTCAAACGTGAAACGTCAAACGTCAGGGACTGACGTTTGACGTTTAACAGTTGACAGTTGACGTTTTACGGTTAACGTTTGACGGTTAACGTTTCACGTTTAACGTTTGACGTTTCTGCGTGACGTCAAGACGAATGACCTTTGGACTTTTGGACAAAAATTGCCAGAATGAACCTTAGCGATTTCTTATGGGAATTAACATGGGGAATGAGGCCGAACCCGTGTTGCTCCTTTACTAAGATCTATAATTTGTTCGAACCACTCTTTAAAGACATCAGCATTCATGTCCTCATGGTAGTCACCGGTACGAGTAGATTCAAAAGTCAATAAACCACCTTTAACAAAACCGTTTGAACTACCGATGTGTACTACTATTAGTCTGCGCCCCTTTCCTGATGGTGGATTTAAACCAGTAGATAAATTATTTAAAAAAGCCTGTCTTCGACTTGTAACAGTTTCATCTTGCCAAAATTTATTTGGTTTATGTCCCTCGTTGGTCCATGTTTCATCTATATAAAATATATTTCTTCTTTGGTTTCTCATTTCTTTTATAGTCCTTAGGTAATTTCTTCTCCATACTACAATATCGATTCTTTCTATTAAAATAGACTTTCTGGAATGCTTTTTCCATAGAAAACCTATTTCTTTTAAAAGTTTCCATAGTGTGCTTCGACTCATTTCAGGGTAATCCTTATCATCTCGAACCGTGGCAAGAACTTTGTCTACTGTCGGAAATTCTTTTCTAAAGAAGAACTCATGCACTTTCCTTCGAAGTCTTTCTTTCAAAAGATTTTCTAATTGAAATTTTGGTTTTCCTGGAGCTTTACGTGCTGTTTGAAACTCGCAACATTTCTCTTCTTTAACAACTCTGTAAATCGTAGATTTCCCAACACCAAGCGTACTACTAACTAATTCCACTGTGTCATCAACACTTTTACATAAATGTTTGTCTGTAAATGATTTAAAACAATTAAATATTAATGTTTTTTCATTAACTGTTAAAGGACCGATTTTTTGTCGTTTACGCGGCCCTTCCAAATTTTCCATGATCACACTAGAATTCACACTGCACCTTGCAAGTTGCAACTAAACGACATTTAGTAAACTGTCAAGAATACACAACTTGGACCTCCTTACTAAACGGAAAACCTATAATCGCATTTTCGGTGAAATTTGTTGGGAAGGTATTTATCTACTTATAATTCGATTACTGTAAGAAATTCTTGGAATTAAAATAAAACAAAATTGGCAAATAGGTACTTATTGAAAATAATCTTAAGATACGGCTATGTAATCTTTAATACACAGGGCTTTTGGCCCGTCCAAACCTTTTTCTATTGTTCTGTACAGCTTATGTTTATAAAGGACCAATAAAAGACCCAAAACTTGTAATAGCTCAGGTACATTTATTACAATTTTAGGAAATATTTAGATTAATCTGTAAACATATTTAAAATGACCGTACTAAGTTTGGCATTAGAAATGCTGTTTTATTACTCTCTCATACATAAAAATAGACTATAGTAAATGAAAACAAACAAGACGCATTCACACAAACACCTCCCATCACAGCAATATGACGTTTCACGTGTATATAATTTTTTGATTTGTGTACATTTTAGCGTGTACCTAGCAACAGTGTTTTAATAATTAATCTAGGTATTTTGTAAATTGACTACTGGGCAATAATTCAACAACACCTACATATTTAAATGTTTATTAAAACTGTAAAATATAATTAAAACTTAGCTCTAAATTTATACGAAATTATTTTAATAAAGTCTAATTTACTTATTTACTACAAGTCTTCGAGAAATCTTCTCCTTAAACTTCGAGTGTCAAGTTTTTTGGGATTAGAATACTATTAATTTTTATACGTCGCACACCGGCAAGTATAGTGTCTATAACACTAAAAATGTAG